ACGTTAAGGATGTAGAGTCGATTTACGCTTCTGGATACCTTGGCAAGAAGGCGGCGACGACGATCCCAAATCCTCATGACTCCATCCTCAACCACCACGCGCGAACCATTCTCATCCAGCTGTCCCAAGCTGATGATGAAGTTTCTCAACGCGGGGATGTAGTAGACTCCGGTGAGCAGCCTGTGCTCACCAGACACGGCGGTGAAGATGACGGAGCCGACGCCCTTGATCTCCACGCCGGAGGCATCCCCAAACTCAACGGAGCCTCGGACGCTAGAGTCAAGCTCGGTGAAGAACTCCCGTCGACCGGTCATGTGATGGGTGGCGTCGGTGTCGAGGCACCACCCGTCAGTCTTGTCGTTGCCGGAGCCGTCGCTAAGGAGGGCGTGTGCTTTTGGCTCGTCAAGGTGGAGGAGAACCGCTGCGGCCGGTGTCGCTGGAGGTAGCTCGATGCTGGCATGTGCCATGAACAGAGCCGGCTCCTCCTCCTCCGCCTGTGAGATGTGGGCCTGGCCGCGTCGTGGCTGTCGATAATCCTTGGCCCAATGGCCAAGCTGGCTGCAGTTGCGGCAGGTGTCATCTCGTACCGGCTTGTGCCTGCCGGTGGCGCCGCCCTGGGTGCCTCCGCAGGCATCACCCTCGGCACGTCCTCGCGCCCCGACATTGGTGTCTCTCTGCGCCTTTGCGCAGTTTTGCCACGCTTATGCGCTTTGTCGTGGAAGAAGGCTCCCTCTTCCTCCGGTCACCTTGGTCGGCAAGCCATCGCTCCCGAGTGAGAAGGAGCTTTCCTTGATGGTGGTGATGGGCCCCGAGAGGGATCTGTGGCTCATCGCTGTTGGCGACCTTGAGGCGACCTATCGCCTCCTCGATCGACATCGTCGGAGAGATCCAGCAGAGACTCGATCGAGCGAGCCATCCGCTTGTACTTCTCGGGAACGCAGCGGAAGAGCTTTTCGACGGCTCTCTCCTCGCCGTAGGTGTCGTCGCCGCCGAATCGCACCATCTTACGCAATAGAGTGTTGAGACGGAGAGCAAAATCATCAACGTCCTCACACGGCTTGAAGGCGTGTTCTCCCCCTCCTTGCGCGGCGCTCGTAGTGTGGACTTGCGGGCGCGGCGCCGGCCGCCGGCGCGTGCCTTGGCGATGGCGCCCCAAGCCTCCTTGGTAGTCCGCTTCGGTAAGCGAGAATCGCATCTCGGGCGGGATCGCAGCTGATGAGAGCATCCAGCGCCTTGCGTCGATCTAGGTCGTAGTCGACGTCGCCGCACGGACCGCCTCCCACATGTGCCGCACCTAGAGCTTTACCTCATCATCGCAGCCCACACTCGACGAAGTTGGTCTTGGTGAGGGTAGGCCACCCACCGCCGGGACCGGCGCCCCGACAATAGCTCGGAGCCCGTGGTAACCACGGCACCGATCCGGGGGAGAGAGCCACGCTGTCTGTGAAAGGCTGAGCTCTCCATCGACCCGTCGGTACCGATCCAGGAGAGAGAGCCACGCCGCGTGTGAAGGCCGCGCTCTCCATCGACCCGCCCGCCACCGCTGTTGCGGCGCGCCTCCTAGGAGCGCCGCCCGCCGTGTCGCGCCTCCTCCAGAGCACCACCGCGCCGTCGTGCGCGCTGTCTCAGGCCGCCGCCGCCGGCGTGGGCGCTTGGCTGCCTGCCCAGGCGCCACCGCCATGCGCGCGCCTCCAGAGCGCCGCCCGGTGCGTTCGCGCGCCGTTTAGGCCGCCGCCACGCCAGGCGGCGCGGTCGCCATCGCGCCGCCAGCGCCTAGGCCGCCTCCCCTCTCTAGAAGCTCGAGGTCGCGCTGCGGTGCGTGTCGCCGCCGAAATGGAGCCGCCGATGTTGCCGCCAGAAACCTCGACCTCCGCTGCCGCCAGACGCTGCTGCATTCGCGCCGCCGCCGCTTACTTCCGCCTCCGCCTGCCGCTTTGCCGGCTCCGCCGCCGCCAACCTCGGGACGCTTTTGCCGCCGCAGCGGTGTCTGCCGCCGCCGCTTCGCGTTCCTGCCATGCGGCAAGTTCGGGCCTCCTACCGACGCCCAGCGTGCTCGAGGCGACCGAAGGCCGAGGCGCCTGCGGACATGACGCGCACTGAGGAGGCTGCGTGGGGAGAGGGTGCTGCCAGACGAGTGCTTTGCTTTCATCTCTGGGAGGAGAGAGCAGTGAGGCGGCCGGAGTTGCCGCCGCCGCACTGGGCTGTTAGTGTGGTGGGAGGAAAGATGAGCGCGAAGATGCTCGAGCATGGATAATACGGACTCGATACCGGTTGTTAGTCATTTGAATTCTCACTCTTGGTAGTAGGAGAATTCTTACTCTCATCGAAAGAGGATGACACTAGGAGTTAGGGCAATTTTCTTGTCTATTTCTTACTCAAATGTCATGCCAACCTGAGGGGTTGGGGTTACATATTTATAGGCTTCTAGCCAGCCAAGCATATGCCAAGATGCTAGTCTAAGATGCTAAGATGCTGTCATCTAGTCTAAAATGCTGTCCTCTAAGATGCTGTCCTGCTGTCCTCTAGTCTAAGGTACTGTCCTAAAAACAGAAAAACAGCCACAAGGACCATGTGAGCAGTACAGCCCCACAAAGACCACACATGAGACTTATCCATCAGTTCACTTGTGTTGGGACTAAACATAACTGATGATTTATCTCTGTTAATTACCTGTCCAGATGCCTGTTCATATACTTCCAAGATACGTCTTAGTTCTAGCGTATCACTTGCCCTTGCTTTCATCAATATCAAAGAATCATCAGCAAAAAATAGATGGTTTACTCTTGGTGCGTTTCGACAAATCTTAATGCCTTCAATCCTTCCCTCTTGTTCAGCTTTTTGCAGCATTGCTGATAAACCTTCTGCACATAAAATGAATAAATAAGGGGAAAGAGGATCGCCTTGTCTTAAACCTCTTTGGGGGCAAATTCGATGAGTATACCCTCCATTAACTTCGATTTTGTAAGTAACCGAGGTCACACAGTTCATATCAAGCTGCACCCATTTTGAATTAAAGCCCATCTTTATCAACATCTTTTTTAAGAAGGTCCATTGGACCCTATCATCCGCTTTGCTCATGTCTAAATTTAATAGCAGCCAAAGCCCCTTCACCTTTTCTTTTAGATTTTAGATAATATATTAACTTGTAAGATAACAGAACATTGTCTGTGATTAATCTTCCTGGAATAAAAGCACTCTGAGAAGGGGAGATGATATCTGGCAAGACTTTCTTTAATCTATTTGTAAGAACCTTAGCGATTAGTTTATATAACACATTGCATAACTAATTGGCCGGAAATCTTTTAATACTTGTGGTGAGCTTATTTTGGGTATCAAGACAATAATAGTATCGTTCCAGCCTACAGGCATTGGCCCTCCATTAAGGACATCTAGTACTTCTTTTTGAACATGATCGCCAATAAAGGACCAAAACTTCTTATAAAAAATAGAAGGCATACCACTGCGACGCTCATGGACCATCGGACGGCAGGTTCGTCAAAACTAGCAGATACCAATTCCGCCAGCCCACGAATTCCGCCCGCTTTGGCCCACAAAGAGAGCCCAGTTTTACCCTCGCGTGAGCCGTGACAGCCGACGACGGAGACACGCTACAGTGGTGGCGCCGCTGGGAGCGAACACTGCACCATATCATGAATAGAACTTGTAAAACAACAGGTTTGTCCAGCTCTTGATCGTCGCCGCGAAGTTACAGGGGCCACCGGAAGGAGCAAACCAATTAATCTTATCCATGACGGCATGACCGCATGAGCCACACGTATTATTAATATATCTCTGTGATCCCAACATTCTGAATTATACTCACAGGATGACACATGTAACGTCAGATTCAACCAGCTGTCTATCCAGTAACCACAGCTATCAAAGACCTGCATCTTTAGTTAGCTGTTAACCCCCAAGCTATATGCATTATGAATATATTTGATGGAAACCATGGATCTGACACTGTTTCATTCAAATTGGATAAAAATATGTGACATTTATGTTGCTGCATATCTGACTACCAAGCTCCTATTTATGGTTTTTTTCCCTCAAACAAGCATAGTTAGTCCAGTGACAGCATTGGAGAAGAACTCAAGCTATATTCTGACATTATGCAATCAATCATCCTGGGAGCATGCATGGAGAAGTCTAGTTCTGTATATATATATATATTTTTCTTCTGATATCTTGCAAGTATTCTAGTAGCATTGCCACACCTTATGCAAGGTCTGCATATATGTTCAAGAACATTCTGGAAGTATGGTCATTTTGCCATACTGAATGGATGGCATTAAGTGATCTCAATATCTGTTGTGCAAGTATTTCACTTTTACGTTTGTGCAAGCATCCAGTATAGCAAAAGAATGTCAATTCACCTTTCAAGTGTGTTTCACTTCTAAGTTAGTGTAAGTTAGTGTAGCAAAATAAGTGACAAAGGATAGTGCAGCAACACAAGTCACGATATCATTTGCAATTACAATCTTTACAAAGTCTCAATCTAGCGAGAAAAGATTCAATCATCTCACTCGGTTTTGACTACTGAGGAACAATATGAACTCACATCATTTACAATATATGAATATTCAAATAGAACATAGTCTATTAAACATCTCAACAAATTTCAGCCTATTTCAACTAAAATTTTAGGTGAAAACGCAGGATTTTTAAGTCTAGCTATGGCTTTTGACGTAGGCCCAATAATATATATAGCAACACCAATCTGCACAAATTAGCCAACTGTTATACCGATTCGTATCCAATTAATTTCTATCAATTTCACTATAATTTTGCATGTTCGCTGCAACTTTTTTCTCTTAACGATAAATGTTGTTTTTGCCCCTAAGCGCATATGCCCCCATGTGCATACACCGTTTGATGCACATGGGGACAAAATTAAATGTTGTACCTTTACAACCAAATGCCCACACAGTTAGATAAAACGATGAACTTACACTATCTGGTGATTTAATAAGCGTGTAGATTGAAGCAAGGGGAGGATTTTATGCAGACCTGTCCGCTTGGGAGTAATGCTGCCTCCTGGGGCATGTGGTTTCTTGCTTCCCCCACGAGCGGTAGAAGAGGCATGAGTTTGTCGTACATCGGAGAAGTCGCCGGCCAGCAGGACCTCTACGAGGAAGATCCATGAAGTCGTCGCCGTCCTCCGGAGTCCGGACTAGTGTCTCCCTGTTGGTCGGGCTTCTTGCCGCGCAAGACCGTTTTTTCGTCAGGGTCCGAGCGTAAACATTGCCTTTCAACCCTCCGGAATGCGCAGCCGCATCATCTGGACCCTTGCCTCGCTTGTTCTGGCAACCGTCTTTACCCCGGATCTCCATGGAGGCATCCGCCGCCCCATTCACGCGACAGGAGGCATGCCCACCGCTGGCTTCAGCCGTGATGCATCGAGGTCCAGTGCCGTCGCCGACATCGCCACGGGGCTCTCGTCCTGACCCGCCTTCAGTCCTGCCTATGCTGGAGCCCTCAGCCCCAACCAATGGGCCGCCTACCCCGGAGCCCTCAGCACAACCGATGTGCCGCCTCCGCCGAAGCCCAGCGGTAGGACACGCGCCACCTCCGGCGGTTTTGCCACTGTCCTTGCTGATGACGTTTTGGGCGGCGGCCTCGACAAATCCTTCTGGGTGGTTCCGCCAGAGCCATCTCCGTCCTGGCGCGCGTCACCTACGCCGGTACGGCTGGCGTCCTCACCGACGTGTCACCAGCACCACCGCCGTCAGCACCGCCAGACCCGTCGTCAGGTCGACCTGGAAATAACCGAAGAACCAAACGATAAAGATGGGGTTTTCCACGCATTTAGAAGTGAAATCGAAGATGGTTTCCTCAAATCGACAACATCGAGGTGCGTGGAGCATGAAGGAACTCACCTTAACCACCGGAGACGTCTGTAGTGGAGGAATCCGTGGCCAGAGTGTGGGGTTTGCTGAACCACCAGGGGCTTTGAGAGGAGAAGCGGGAGGCGGTTTTCAGCGGCCATGGGTGGAAGCGGTGTAAAAGTAATCATGGAATCATATCCAATTGATTTCTGTCAATTTCACTATAATTTTGCATGTTCGCTGCAACTTTTTCCGGTTGCCAGTGCATGTTGTTTTCGCCCTAAGGGCATATACCCCCATGTTCAAAATGAGCATAACATAATAACTAGCCATTCATAGGAACCAAATTATACCAGACATAAATAAGTTCAATCATATCAGTCATAACTAATAGCCTGATCGCTGGGCTAGAGCTAGGGCTGGCTGGGCTGGTTGGTCAGCCCCCTCACATGGCTACTATTCACACGAACCAGCCAGCAATATTTCTCTCTCACATAAACGAACCAGCAACGATACCTTTTCAGCCCAATGCCCACACAGTTACACTATCCGGTGATTTCCGCTTTCTGCCCTTGGTGACGCCGGCTATTACGTTCCAAAAGACTAATCATTAATAAGCGTATAGATTAAAGAAGGGGAGGATTTTATGCACATAGTTGTAAGTTTCTATGACCCGGAATGTTACTGTCTGCTTGGGAGCAATGCTGCCTCGTGTGGCATGTGGTTTTTTTCTTCCCCACGAGAAGAGGCACGAGGGTTGTGTGTGGAAGCGGTGTAAAAGTAATAATGGAACGGTGAACGTTGTAGTGTCCAAACAAAAAAAAAGTGGTGTCCAGACTAAACAAAAAATAAAATGACAGTGAATAAAAAAAGGGAAGCATATAAGGGCATTAAGAGTATCTCCAACGGTAGGAGAAAATTTTAACCTAAAAGCTAGTTATCGGGAAGATACAAAACATGTTTTTGAGATTTCAAGATCTTCTCTCCAGCAGAACGAGAAAATCCAATCCCCAATGAGAAAAATAATGGATTGGGAGGAGAGATCTCCCCTTTATTTGACGGATGAAAGGCTATGATTTGAGGGAGTGGAAATTTTTTTTTCTAATTGTGGTTAGGTCTGGGAAACTGCCGAAGCTTCAATATCTTCAAAATAACAGTTTTTATTTATTGAGGGTTAGGAAAGAGGACTGCTGAAGATGCTCTAGACTTATCATATGTCAAAACGAAGTACCTACTCTACCCTAGTAGGCACAAAACTTATAAATATAAATGCTGAACCAGCAATGTCACCAGTAACCCTCGTACCACCGTACCAGTAAACCCAATCAATCGCTACTATCAACGGCAGTTCCGCAGTTGCTGCTGATCGTTCATTCATTCGTTCGTCCTCTTCTCCATGTCCATTCCCGAATAAACCCCCCAACCAAACGCGTCCTGTTCGCCGGTACGGCCGCTACCCACGCATTGACGCATGCAAAAGAACGGCGCACGGCGGCAGTTTCCGCAAACGGCCAGGCATTTCCCGGCCGAAATCCAGCGCCGGCCATTACGCGGCCTGCCGCGGAAACGGAAGCTTTGAAACCCCGAATTATTTCTGCCGGCAGGCATGTGCTAGCCCCGCCCGCCCGCCGCAGGCCTCTCATTTTCGGTGGCCGCCGCCGTGCCGTTATAGTTATAGAGGCGCCACGCCACGGCACCACCGTTCATGAATGGCGCCTGAATTTGATACGACCAACAGGGAGGTGGCGGCGATCTGCAGGGACGAGACGAGGACGATGCTATGTTACGAGAACCCCACTCCGGGAAGCTTTTGCTTTTGCTTTGGATGCTCTGATGGGTGTAAACTGGATCACCACAGAAGCAGCCATAGTACACCACTTTGGATGCTCTGGTGAATAACGTGACAGACATGGAAGTAAACACTTGTGACGGCACCATCTGAAAAATGATGTCGCCCTTGCTCGACATGCACCACCATCATTCATGATCCATCCATCGATCCATCGCCACCGCTTCGCCAATAGCACTGACCTTTCCTTTAAACACGCAGCTGTTGTCCATGTGACAGGATATTGAATAGGGGTCAGGGGATGACCGCCGATGACCGACGACGGCTCGATGCCGATGCCCGACGGGTGGAGGAGAGGAGCTGGTCACGGTTCTTCGTGCGATCGTGCGTATGGGCAGCAGAAATAAAAGTAGGGAAAAGAATGGCCAAAGGTGAGGCTTGGATTAGAAAGAAGTGAAAGAAGATATAATATTGGCAATGATTAGCTGCAGTGCCTTGCAGCTTGCTTGCAATTCCCTAGCTGGTCATTAGTTGGTTGCTCATCTTTCTTGTGGTGCGATTTGCTTGTATAAAAAGCAAGTAAACTTTGACATGCAGTGGTCACATCCTTTATGCTCCCTGTACCAGCACCTAGGCCGTATGTTTCGTAGCTTCTGAAGTCTCAAACCATCAACTTTTGGTCGTAATTTAAGCAAAACATGCACCTCCCTAAATGAAATTACTCGTACACCCCTTTTCCCCGAATACTGTTACCAATATGGGAACTAGAGTTGGAATAGAATTGATGGGATAGCCGAATATATTGCCAAGTTTTGTTGCCGATTATATAGCAGTACATTGCTTAGAGTACAAGAAGTCTCGCTTAAAATAAGGCAAGCCAAGATTACATCATAATCTGTCATATTTGGAGATATACTATCCTAATATACTCTAACAGGTGCTCGCAGAAGAATTCTCACGATTCGAGTCTCTCTGCATGTTCAAATACTCCATTAATTTGTGAGTGGTTTCCAAGCGAGATTAATTGCCAAACCTTCTCAGGAGGAACTTTAAAGTTTCCCGTCACAGGCCTCTTGTGCGGAGTATTGAATTCTGACATAAAAATCGGTACAACAGGAATGGATACAGAGAATGTAACATCAGGAAATAATTGACTGCAGGTGCAATAGGCATGTTCCAGAAACAGACATTCAAATACCAATGCTACAATTCAGCCTTCAGCATGGCCAATCAGAGGTAAAAGCATCTCCAAGAGTTTTCTAAATATCCCCTAATTCTTGTTTGTTAGAAAGATAAGAAAAAATTCCTCTCCAATAGCTCATAATACATTGAAGACTCATCGAGCTAAAATGTAGACTCGCACCCCGCGTATCCTTCTCGCAGGAGGGCTTCCCCGTGCGTGAGTAAGGGCACGCCGTGGGCGGCGCCCCGGAGCCGCTGCCGGATGGACGCGGGACGCGTCGTTCCCAAGCCGCACGGCGTAGGCGCCCTCGGGCACGACCAGCACCATGTCCCCTGCTTCAGCCCCGACCGGATGTCCACGAACCCCGACATCTGCCAGGACGGGATCACCGACGCGCCCAACACCCACGTCCCACGCAGCTTCAAGAGTACCAGCCTTGGAGGTGCGCGGCCCTCGCCATGCCGCCGCGCCACCCCTCGCCGCCGACGTGGCCCTCCCAGCCGGGATCGGGCGCTGGCTATCGTAGGCATATGCTCTTTTGCGAGCTGAGAAGAAGGAGTGGGAAAGGAAAACGAGGAAAGACGGGGTTCCAGATGAGAAAAGCGTAAGAGAGAAAGATCTCGTGGGAGGGCTTAAATGGGTATAGAAACAAATTTTGGGTTCATGAAGCAAAACATCGTTAATCCTGCAGCGAGTCATGGAAAAGAAAAAGTGCCGCATGAAAAAACTAAGATAGACATGTTATGAAGCATTGAAGATGGTCTTCTTTTTTCTCCCAATATCCTTTTAGGAGTCGGGAAATATGAACTTTTTAGGATCAATGGTCATGTTCGCTTCTCTTATAATCTGTACTTTTTAGTTTCTTTTTTCAGTTGGAACAGTATTTTTCTCTCACAATAAATTAGCCGAAACAGTATTTTGGTTTTTTTTTTAAAGCGAACGGGCCATAGATACAGAATTGAAGTACTTACAGAGATCACAGGAGGGAACAGATATCGATCACTGGTAGTACATGTACATCACAAACAGTCCCACTGCAGATGAATAGCCAGGTTCCAATGCTACATTTCAGCTCCATGAATCTTCAATGTACTGCCAGCTGCATGGTAGGGTAGGGTGTGTGTGCCGCCAAGTGTGAATGCCCTGTTTGTTTGACAGATAAATCATGACTGAAAGTATTGTTAGCTGATTTATTGTGAGAGAAAAATACTGTTCCTTGACTACAAAAGTACGGCTTATAAGCCAAATGATCAGGGCGATGCTCCTCACCTCATTTGCCAAATTCAATCCAGAATTATTGGCCATTTCAAGAACCAGCTATGCTCCTCACCTCATTTGCCAAATTCAATCCAGAACCATTGTCTCATACTTGACAGAGAATTGACATCATATGCAAGCGCATTTCTATTTAAGTTCGGTTCAGTTCAGTTCAGTTCATCTAATCTAATAAAAGTAAAAAAGCAAATCGTACCACCATAGTAACAATTCAGGTCAAGAATGCATGACATGTGAATGAAAGAATGATCAATAATAGAACAAAATTCCAAGTCTTTACACCTCCAATCGAGAGAATTGGGAACCCAAGAATCACCTGCCGGACCAAAAAGAATCAAAATCCCCCCAAATAACCAATCTGAATTCTACCCCAAAGAGCAAAAGGCTCCCCTTCTCTACCAACTCATTCCCGATTTCCCCTGCCATGTCGCCACCGCCGCTCCCTTTGCCGCCCCTGTACAGCCCACCACGAGCAGCAGCTAGATCATAGCGGCGGCGGCAAGAGCCGCAGCAAGACAACGCAATGCAATGGGGCACATTGCCACTGCCAAGAACCTCTCAACCAGCAAAAGAACTGTTGCAACTATGGAACTAGAAGCTCTCTGTCTACCATGAGAGCACGGATGCGGACAATGCCGGCCCGGACGCCGGCGAGGCGGCGCCATCGGAGTCGCTGGGGATGTAGAGGTCGTAGGACTTCCAGGTGTGGTCTAGCGGGCACGGCCTGCCGGCGTCGAGGCGGTCCCAGGGCTTGCCCTTGCCCGACCAGTGCATGAGGCTGACGGGCCCGGCGTGGAGTGGGCGGCAGCTGCCGTGGACGTTGTCGCCGCCGAGGCCGTGTTGGTTCCAGCGGTGGTCGACGGCCTCCACCTCGCCGGCGAAGACGAGCAAGAACGGGGGCAGGGAGCCCAGCTCGTAGATGCGCTTCACCTTCTGGATTTCCATCCAGCGCTCGATGCGCTGGCGGTAATTGCCGGCGCGCCAGCGGCGGAGGTCGATGACCATGACGCCGGTGTTAAAGTAGCAGGGCGGCCGGCGGCGCCCCGCGAAGACGTGGGGCCGAGCTCCTGGTCGGACCAGAACGCCGGCGTGAAGTAGCGGGAGAAGTTGGCGTGGCAGTACTCGGGCGCCGCCACCACGGCGGCGGCGGGGAGGCGCGTCTCCCAGAGCCGCCGCACGTCGTCGGCGGCGAGCACGTCGGAGTCGAGGTATATCGTCCGCGGCACGCAGCGCGGGAGCAGGTCCGCCAGGTGGTTCCGCGCGTAGTTGAGCGGCGCCTCGAGCGCGGCGCGAACGGACGCCGAGATGAGCCCGGCCACGGCCTCGGCGCGGAACGGGTAGATCTCGAACCGCAGCGACGGGAACGACGCCGCCACCGCGCGCCGCAGCAGCTCCGGCTCCGGGTCCTCCCCGTCGTCCGCTGCCGCCCCGGCCGCCTCCGCGGCCAGGAAGTGGAAGAAGATGGACTCCGGGCACGACGCGTGCTTGAGCAGCGAGTACACCGCCGCCATGGAGCCCCGCAGGTAGTGCGCGTCCAGCGTCATGGCGATGTGCACCAAGCCCGGGTCGCACACCCCCGCCGCCGCAGCCGGACACCCTTCCCCGTTCCGGTACTCCGGCGCCTCCGCAAACCTCGGCAACGCCCCCGCGGCACCCGAAACCTCGACGGCCAAGAAGAGCACCGTCGCCGCCACAGCAGCGGCCCACATCGCCTCGCCCGCGGCGCCGCCCATGGACGCCGGTGACGAGGGTGGCTCCTGCTCGTTCTTGGATTCTCTCTTCTCGCAGCGGCCAGCGGGCGGCAGCCTGTGCTGCGCTGTCTCGCAGTCGCAGTAGTGGGGACTGCTGGGGAGGGGAGAGCGGTCGGTGAGGGGAGGCGTATGTATTGGCCGCTGGCGTAGCCGTGTGTGTACAAAAACGGGTGGCGTTAGCGATAAAAAGCGCTGGTGGGGAAGGGAGGGGAGGGCGGCGTCCCGTGCGTGTTTGGGGAAGTGCGTTGATTTTGTTCTGGTGTGTGGATGGTCTTGGTAGCTGTTGTGCATGGTGTGAACAACATTTGTACCGTTGTAGTACCTGCATTTGTGTTTAATCTAGTGTCAAGTGGTAGGATGGTCGTGGTAAGATGCTTAGTCTACACTAACTTCAATAGCATGACTGCAGATAGCTGGAGATTAGTATTACTTTTTGTAGCCTATGGATACATTAGTGTACACTCTTGCTGCTCTATCTATTTGGATGCTTAGTGTCTCAATTCTATACCGTCCGTTTTAAAGTTATGGTAATTTATCGTGTTCCTTTGTTATCACTTTGTCGGAATTCAGTGAGCAATAACGGTTTAGGTTGGTTACATGGTTTTACCGACTTGCCGTTACCATTCATTTTGTTCTATGTTTCAAAACATGCGACTTACATTATACGTTGTCAAGGTGCCGATCATCTCTTTTATAATGAATGCTCACGTGTTCTTGGAGATACTAATGCATTCACTGCATATATAAATTGTTATTAGTCAAGGTAAGGCAAATGTCACATTTGTTTTTTTATAGTTAGAGATAGTGCTACTTTCTCTGATCCCAAGAGATAGTGCTACCTTCTCCTATCACAAATATAAGTCCACATGGTTTTTCCTAAGTCAAATTTTTGGCCATAATATATGTGTCGGTGTTTTGTCAACCGATGAGTGAATTTATACGTGTGTCGCGCTGCTCTAGAAAGACGATGGTAGCATCCAAAGGCACAAGGAATTATATTGGTTCAGACCGGACACCTATCCATTTTGAGAGAAGATCGAGTGCATGTTCCCCCGCTGAATGCTCTGAAGTCTTACAATGGGGGTGTAAGAGGAGGGAAAGAGGTAGGAGAAGTGAGGTGAGGGATTGTCCGAATGAAGTCTGAGAGTCCGTCCCCTGGAAGGGAGGCCTGGCCACCCTTATATAGAGTCCAGGGGCCAGGTTACATACAGAGAGAAAGGTTACCGTACCGGTCGTCACCGCCTGGCGGTGTTGTCTTTTTCGCGCAGGGATGGCGTCTATCCTAACTGAGGGGATTGTTGCCCCCTCAGTCCTGGCGGAGAGAGCGAGGCGTGCCTGCCCCTATCAGGGCTGGTGTACCCAATGGGGCTCGATCTCTCCCCGTTCCTTCCCAGGGGACGGGACGGAGGAGAGGTCGTGCGGTGCTGCGTAGCGTGTAGTGGAAGGAGAAGGGAGAGGTCGTGGTCAACCACTTTCCTTATTGCATGGCCCAGGTCCGCACGACTTAGATGGCCACGGTTGCTGGCCTTGTGCTAATTGGGCCGTCATGGGCCGCCCAAGTGGCTAACTAGTCGGTATCTTGAGATACCTGGGGTATCATAACCCCGACAATGTGAAACTATGTATATACAGATGACAACACAAGATTGGCATTACCAGATTCAGTCTGCCATGAAAACTAGTTTCATAACAAATACCTCTTTCTATCTAAGATAATATATCTTTATATATATTACTAGCTAACATGTCATATTGGAGACCATGGCGATGTGTTAATGGGCTTATATTCCTGATTGGAATAAGCATTTGTGGCCAGTAGATAGTGGTCCAATATCCACAAAATGGCTGCAATCTTTAGATATAATGCTACTATCTTTTCTAGCCATGGATACGGTGAGGCAATGCTCATTCATTCCCTTTTGATACTTTATATGTTTAGATGCTTGTATATATCTTGTTGTGGTAAAACATTTTATTAGCTCTTATAGTTTTTATGTTCTTGGTATCATCGTTGTGTAGTAATTTGATGGTCAATTGTAGTTTCATTGGTCCTTGTTCCACTAGTATTCAACTTGTTTTATGCTCTCGTAGTTTGAGTCACCGCTGGGACTAAATGTCACTTATGCTACACAATTCAAAGGTGATAGTAAGCTCTTTCTGTGGCACATGCCTATGTGCTCAAGGAGAATACTCATGCATTTATAATAGTTAGATTATGTTTTTAGTCAAAGTAAGGTATATATTTATTCGCAAAAAAGTAAGGTATATATTTCATATTGATAAGTACAAAAAAATGCATGTGTATTTACACTTGATAGATGTTGCATGATGTGATAAATGACATTTATACCATTGTACTACCCATGTGTATGATGGTTGTGGCAATGATGCTTTCATCTACATATAACTTCAACACCATGACTGTAATTGTTAGAGATATTACTAATAATTTGTAGCTTTTATTGGTATGGTGAGGCAATATCTAGTTGTGCTCCATATTCATACAAGTGTTTTATATCTCTAGGCCATGGCAAACCAATTTATCTATCCTTAGACTTTATTATGTTATTGGTATTATCATTTTGTCAACATTCATTGATTAACAATGGTTCCTCTAGTCATGGCTGTACTAACTTATTTCTATCAGTGTTCCTTGTTTATTTTGTTTTATATTCGAGAGTACCTAAGTCATCTTTGGGTTGAATATATCTTACATTGTGTTGGTCAACTCATCCTCAGGACATGCCTATGTAGAGGTAACAAATAATTGAAGGAGAAATAAAACTCACCAACATTTCTTGTAAAAGAAAAATAAGAGGAGAAAATTGAATTGAACACTGAAAAAATAATAGTGGATAAGCAAATAAGTACACATTTCTAGGTAATCCTAGTTGAGAACTGTTAAATTTGTCTAAGAATGTGTTTACTCCAAGTTAAAGGCACGGTAAGACTTTAACATTCCTTTATTTTCATAAGAATACCCATGAATGGCATTCCTCTAATATTTTTTAGGTGTACATTTGGACGTGAACACGTCTACATTGGTGCATGAGACAACACGCTTAACAATATTGAAGGTCTACACTCTCGCATAGCATGGGCAAATAATGTTTCACACCCATTGACCCATGCGTGTGCATGCATGTTTTCGTTTTACTTAAAATTGATTTCAGCTTATGTGAGTACACTTGACAAGTCTAACTCGAACCAGTGAGGGAGGATATAGTATATAAACGTGTAAAGTTTGGCTACACTTGATATGGGATTTCTGTCCTTTTCCACTATTTTATGTTGATCACTTTCCAAAATTGGAGCGTGAGAGTAGATCTAATTGGTACGTGCACCACTTTACCCTTGTAGCGATTAAACAACGCTTGTCATCGGTGCTGCTAGGGTAGGGGCAGTTGAGAACACATAGCATAGGAAATCTTGAGAGCCCACACCTGTTCCTGGCGATACATATACTACTGTCACGAGGAGCATATCATTCACCCACTTGAGAGTATCATGTAGTCCAGTGATCCAGTCATGTGCTACACTACACTTTATCTGAAAATCCAAATGATCCTGTTGCAGCGAGCATGAAGCACCAAAGTTGAATACATTACCGGTAGACACATGGCATTCTATATATATAGAAACACACTTAGGCCTATTTGTAACAGCTTTTGTTCCGCTTCCACTACTACAAAAACAAATTTGCGCAGCGTCACCAAAATAGCCTCCGTGGCGGGCATAATTTTTGCCCGCTGCGGTTAATGCCCATGATTTACCGAGGCGGGCCTTTTTTATTTACCGAGGCGGACGTTTTTTACGGGCGTCTTAAAAAATACCCTATTTTCCGCGGTGGGCGTCTTAAGACGCCCGCCACGTAACAGCTTTTGTTCCGCTTCCACTACTACAAAACGAATTTGCGCAGCGTCACCAAAATAGCCTCCGTGGCGGGCATAATTTTTGCCCGCTGCGGTTAATGCCCATGATTTACCGAGGCGGGCCTTTTTTATTTACCGAGGCGGACGTTTTTTACGGGCGTCTTAAAAAATACCCTATTTTCCGCGGTGGGCGTCTTAAGACGCCCGCCACGGTAAATCTATTTACCGTGGCGGGCATATTATAAGGTCCACCATGGTAAAAGGCCGAGGCCCAGTTGGCCCAGCAAGGCCCGATTTCTGCCTTTGAGTATAAAAGCTAGAGCTAGGGTTTGGGACTCTCATCTCACTCTTTCTCTCGTTCTCATCTCCCTCCCCGTAGCCCAGGTCCTCTTCTCTCACTCCCCCTCCCCATCCCCTCCACTCTCTCACTGCTCCTCCGCCCCATCGCCTGCATGAGAGTGCAGGAGGAGGCAGCGTCATGCACATGCAATGAGGAGGCCATGGTGGAAGCAAAGTGATTCTTGCGCGTGCGGCGTCTGGCATGGCGTGGCGTGATGCATGGCATGCCGACGCGACCATTGGCGACGGCCACAAGACAGGTCAAGAATAAATTGGGGCGCGACGGCAAGCAACCTCGCCCAAAGGCGACAAGGCGTCCCGGCGAATGGATCGACGATGCGGCCTCCTCCAAAGGTGGATCGAGGTCTCCAAATGACGGATCGAGGCTCCCGGCGACGGATCGACGACGACAAACCCTCCTCCAAGGCCGGATCGAGGTGTCCCGGCGACGGATCGAGGCTCCGACGGTGGATCGAGGCGCCCCGGCGGCGGATCGACGACGACGACCTCCTCCATGGCCTCACGGCGGATCCAGCGCCCTCGTCGCCCACGGCTTGGTCCGCCCTCCTCTTCGTCCACGGCCGCGGATCCGGTCGTCTGCGCCTCGGCGTCAGATCCGCGAGGTCGCCCTCCTCGGCCGCGGATCCCGCGAGATGACCTCTCCGTGGTGGATACTGGCGAGGAGGAGACCCCGGCGGATCAATGAGGTGCGGTGGCGCCGGTATTAGGTCGGGAACGGGCTCGTCGGTGGGCTCGAGAATGGGCTCGTCG